TTTTTATCGTGTCTTCTGTAAGCTGTAGACTGATGCAACATAACGGAGGACAGAGCTGTAACCTTGAGCTGCCATCTTTCAGACAGCTCTATATAAAGGAATGTGTGTCTGAACCGACAGCCGGACCTTTTGGGAGTCTAATCCGTTCTGCTCACTCAGCCATACCTGCTTTCCTATTAAGGAGCCAAATGTTGCAGCTCTGTGGTGACTAAAATACGGAGAGGTGACCGAGGCGTAAAGGATGAAGGTCTGCAGTCATGGAGTCTCAGATTATCTCCAAGCAGACAGAAGTGATCTGATGTTTGCTTTTCTTTCTCTTTTTCTCTGTGGATTTTTCCGATGTGGGCAGAGGAAATGCTCTTTTACCCATCGCCTGTCGGATTTTCAGCTTCAGCCTCCACCACCTTTAATTCTTCACTCCATAGTTTAATGTTTCCATTAAAAAACACAAAGACGAATAAAAATAATCCAGTTAAACAGTTTCCTTTTCAAGTTCTCCTTTGCTTTTTGAAACATCTTGTCATCATGATTTTATTTTATTTTCCATTAACCATAAAATCCGTCATCACCTTATAAATGTAATAATAGTTATTAAAACCTAAAACTCCTCAAAAGTTTGTATGAAGTTCCCCTCATATGACAAAGAACATAAAAATCATAGCAGTTGAACCTCTCTGGCCACCGTAAGGCTGCAAACAGAGAGCTTTGGGATTATTTTTTTATATTATGGGGTGTTGAAGGCTCCCTTTGAACTATTTTATAATTTACACACTTGGAACGACAACTTAAATGACAAAAAAAAAAAAATCTGTGTTGTTCTTGAGAAGCAGCAGATCTGATGTCCTTCACCTGTTGTGTTTTTATAGAAACAGTCAGATAGTGACTGAGTCAGAGAATAACAGATTTAGCTAAATTTAGCTGACGATACCATTTAAAAAGGTGTAAAGTCTTGTTTTATGCTCATTGAAACAAAAAACCACCTGATCCTGATAAAATGAGGTTATATTGATGGAGTATCCATCCTAAAAGTGTTAGGAAAGTCCTTTTGAGGCTTCAGGAGCTTCACTGTTACTACCAGATCCGTCCCCTAAGCACGACCCGTACCATCAGCTCATCTGCACAACCAGATATATATCCGGGTTTCTATAATTCATGTTATTATGGCACTAAAAGTACTTATTTCTGTCATTAACTCACTAAAGAATGCTAATACACACCTTTAAAAAAAAATTTCTTAATGATTTTTCTGAGACAATTTGATCCTTTTTACATTTTCTTCATTAAACTGCTTCTCTGACGTCATCATGGGACATGCTCAGAGCAGTCCGGCTAAATCTGATTAAACCATGTTTATCTGCATTTTAGTTGTTTCTTTCTTTAGGTTACACACTATATTCCACAATGTCAACACAAAAGGAAAACATAAAACTCAAAAAGACTACATTTATGTTTAAAGTGGTAGGGAAATCATATTTAAATGTCAAATCATTCTGGCTTAAACATGTATATAAATGTACTCTTTATCAGACCATATTGAGCCAAAATTTAGAAAATTTCTATTTAGAAAATCTGTGGGGGTTTTTTCTCGTTATCTTCTGCAGGCCAGTTAGTTATACGTCAGCCTAAACACCTAAATTCAGCCAATCATATATCAATGTTCATCTGCTTCTCAAATTTTTTCAGTCATAGCATCTTGATTCATATGTCGCAGCTAATATACGC